ACCTAAACTCTTCTAAACAAATATTGACATGCAATATAATTATGATATAATATCATTATTTCGATTTTACCAAACAATTTTGCGTATAAAAAGAAATCAATATGTTTTACAGTTGCCTGTGTATTACTGTTAGTTCATGAATGACTTATTTAGATTACTAGTACATGTCCATGTTGATATGGATTTATGATAGTTTGTTGGTAGGAGATATCCAAGCAAATAATACCATATGTGAGGAACATTTTAGCTCACCTGATCTGAAAGCTCGTGAAATTTTCTGATTCAGTTGTCCGTCGTCAGTCCGTCCATCTACACAGGTCAAGTTCTAAATCATATTTTCAACTTATCTTCTCAAGAACCACTTGGTCAAACTTAGAATAAAGCATCCTTGGGAAAGGGGAAGTTCAAATTATTTTAAAAAAGGGTCAAGCCCCTTCTAAAGGGAGAAAATCAAGAAAAGACAAAACAGTGGGGTCATTTAAAAGTCATCAAGAACAAGAAAAGCTGAGCTTACGTGTACATGTATGTGGATATATTCTGGAGGAGTGTAAATCTAAATTGTTCAAATTATGACTCCCGGGGGAAGGGTGGGGCCACAAATGGGAATTAAATTTTTACATTGAAATATATAGGAAATATCTTTAAACATCTTCTCAAGAACCACTGGACCAGAAAAGCTCTAACTTATGTGGAAGCATGCTGGAGAAGTGTAGATTCTTAATCGTTCATAGCATGACCTCTGGGGATTGGTTGCGGCCACATGAGGTATAACAAGGAGGAATTTAAACATCAATGCCAAAGTTACTTAGGTGACTTTTGTGGCGCATGTCATTGAACCTCTTTTTTAATGTAACATCTGTTCTCTCTAAAGGTATTTTTTGTTCATTTTTAGAATTATCTACTTTTTTTTTATTAAATAGTGTAGGACTGGTCACTTAGAATAAAGTCCAGTACTAGTCATACTGTCACTACAATTTACTGTCAACTGCAAGGTCAAATCTCATGGAAGAACACAAACCTCATCATGATTTGATGTCTTATTTATGTAACTAGAAATAAAAAAAAAATGAACAAATGACTGAAATGCAATGTTTACAGAGGGCGAAGAGGTCTTTAATTTCATCATGTATGTAGTAGTAAAATAAAAATTATGTCTATAGATTCAACTTTTGTTTTTTACCCTAAACAAAATGCTTAAAAGTTAAGCAGAATTTAAAAGGCACAACGTCTTAACTTAAATACTGTTTAACAAATTTATCTAAATTATGCAATGAAAGGATTTCTTTAAAAATAAAAAAAAAAAATACAGACTGTTGCAATTATTGTCGTACATCCGTATGTTTTCTGATGGTTGTATTAACATGATAAAATATTTACATTCCGTGTATTTTTCCTTATGAAATTCATTAGAAATCCACGACATTCAAATTTCTATAACACACGCAAAACCTTGTCACCGCGCGTTAGAATACACAGTAGGAACTATATGCATTTTCTATAATCTAGGAACACCAAAATGTACAATATTTTGACTCAATTTAATTGGAAACTATAATCCCGTTAAATTAACGTAAAAATATTACAAATGTGCGTTTAAAATTAATTTCTCACTTTTTTCCCTCGCAATGTTTGTTTGCGTTATTTAACTTTGCAACGTCATCTGACGTCACAAACGGCTCTTACGTCTATTAACCACGTCAGTTTTGAAAGGCGCAAAATTCACGTGAAAGATTAACGAAATAAGCAATAGTAAAGAAGGAAAATTAGAGAATGTAAATATAAGCATTGAATTCATATTTTTGGCTGCCTTCGGTCCTATAACACACCTGGCCGTGCCGACAAATTTATCATACCACGCTAACGCGCGGTATTCAATTTGTCGGCACGGCCAGGTGTGTTATAGGACCGAAGACAGCCAAAAATATGAATTCAATGCTTAAATAATAACCTTGACAGTAAGTAAAACTAACATTAAGTTGAATGCTCTCTGACGTTTTTCATACCAAATTGTTATACCTGTATTCACACACTGAATTGTCTACGGATTATTCCATTAGACCTATTATGACAAGGGGCACAACTTACCGGTCCATAGGAAATATTTATTCCTCATTGGCAACTGCTCCCACATCTAATCAATTACATTGTATTTGTTGTCTATAATTGCTCTTTCCCCAATATATGTTATTTTTATGGGCTTTTCAGCTTTTATACTACTCGTAATCGTTTTCTAAGATTTCATGAAAAGTCATAACGGAAAATTTAGAACAAACTAGAGCAAAGCTCGTTGCAAATCAACGAGAACGACTTCCGTCTTTTTTAACCGGAAGTGACGTCAACAAATAAGAAGTCTCCACTTTATAATTTCAATGTCAAAACCTGCGAAATAAGCTATATTTGGCTATTTCCGGTTTAACCAGAAGTGATGTCGAGAGATGAAGAATTTAGTTGGATGCTTCTAGTGCCATAAACTAACCAAGAACGGTCAAAAATGGCGAAAATTAGTATTTTCTTGTTTTTTCCGGTTTGTGACGGAAGTGAAGTTATTTGACGACTTTCAACAATTTAGGCTTCATTTCTTGCTGACATCTAAGTCACAAGGCCAGAAAATCTTTGAAAAACTCAAATTAAACCATTTTATTCTATTTCATTTGATTCAAGAGAGAAAGTTCAATTTTTCGGCTACTTCCGGTTTACACTAGAAGTACTTCCAATGGAAGCTTTTTGTTGATGATTGAGAATGTTAACATAAGTTCTATTTGCCTTTATTCAAAACCGTTACTTTTCTTTAAAATGTTGAAATTGAAAATCACCTCCTGTGTGGACTGAAAGTGACGGACGCAAAATCAAAAGACGTAATACATAACTCAAAGAGATATTTTATGATCCCTGAAAATACCTTGATTCAATCTTGAGTGGTTTACAAGAATTAAATGCGTGGACATAAAGACAATTTGAAAAAGAAAATCGGACAAAAATGCAACTGGAAGTGATTTTTCAAAAAAAAAAGGAAAAAAAGGGTCTGAAGATATTACAACAATGCATCATTCCTAAAAAAATCTTTGAAATCGGTTCTGTAGTTTCTCAGTGCAGAGATCACAAGTACTACGAAAAGGGAATAATAACAATAATAGGAAACATAAGAAAAACAGTAAAGTCTTCCGAAGGAAGTCGGAAGACCTTAATTATGGAAACTGCATTGTAGAACATACGGATTTTTATTACTTCTCAACTCTATTCATTATGCAGAAAAGGCACATTGTCTTGGATCCCTTGTAAAACGTAATAGAGACTAAGATAACATTATCACTTTGTTATTTATGCCTCTAATATAAGACTGTTTTCCACGGATCAATAAATCTGTCTACAAATGTAAACTTCACCATTCAACATGTTGATTATCACACGGCTAGTCATACGACCTTTATATAGGAAATGATAATAAAAAATGCACGATGGAAAGTACTTCTTATGTATGGAAGTCTGCACGCCCATATAATGTGTAAAAGCAAGACTAGTCATCTTCTTATGGAATTTCAAAATATTCCTTCGCCGCACTCGATAGATTTCAATAGAGAAATGGTAACAAACAATGCATGTATCAAATAATATAATTATTATAGCTATGTTTGAAAGTTTCTATAAGTTTACATGTACCATTGCACTTGAGTGTTTGATTAACTTAAATATTATACAATTATTGCTGGTTTTTTAGGTCAATACAATGGTTTAGCCATCTGAGGAGTACAATATTCACCGAGCCCGAAGGGCGAGGTGAATATTGTACTTTGAAGATGGCTAAATCATTGTATTGACCGAAAAAAAACAGCAATAATTGTTTTATTATATGATTCACTGATAAAATGATACAGCTCATTACTTGTTTGCATTTTATTAAGTCCTAGCCAAATACAAGAGAGTAGCAGAATTAAAATGTAAATAAACCTTACCAGTCGTATCAATTTGAATTTTTTAAAATCAATTTTAGCAGCCATGAAAGAAATATATAATGTCAGTCTTTTTAAAGGATAGATTTTGAAAGGAAGGAGTATTATCAGGAAAAACTGACTGCCAAAAAGTAAAAAAAAAAATTGTTGATCAGTAAAAGTGTTGGATGGGTGGGGTCCCTGCATCCCCTCTTACCACCCTCACCTAAAATATATATTCGCTTATGTTTTGTTCACATGAAAATAAAAATCATAGTCTTTTAAATAGCTTTCTAAAACAATTTGTATCAATTTGGAATTCCCCAATCTATTTTTAGATCAATGTAGAGGAAATAAATCCTTGTATTGACCTGGAACGTCACGTGCAGGTCAATACAACGTAATATTTTTCTAACATAGTTGGATCTCAGCCAATCAGAGAGATGGAAATTATTCAATCATATAATAAAATGTGTTATGCCTTTTTGAAAATTAAGACCAGTACGTCAAATGAAAAAAAGCAAACATTTACTCCATTGAATTTAAGATCAGATGTGCAAACAGGTGCCATGGAGGGGATAAGCATCTTCCTGTCGACTGGACACATCTGCCGTTTGTCCGATCAAACGGAGACATCTTTAGGCAATTCAGTATAAAAAAAAAAGTAAGGCAGGTTTTTGTATGAAATATTTAAGTCAATATTTGATCTTGGCCTTCAATGACAGATAATATTGCAAACAAGGACACTGTATTGACCATAGGAATTGCAAAATATTTTAAAACAAAAATTCATATTATCATATTTAAAATCGAGATTGATGATATCTTGGTAATCGGTTGTCTGTCTAGTTTTAAAAACTGTTTATTCGTAGCATTTGGAAATTTTAAGAATTGTCTTTTAAATTCGTTCTAAATGCAGTGAAATGAATAAATGGTCAACTCTTCAATGCGTTTAAAAATATATGTATACAAAGTATCGTCACTAAACCTCTAAGGGAACACTTGTCTATCAATGTCCTGTAAGTTTCGTGGTTTTTGGTCGGCTGGAAATTCTAACCTTTTTACACCGCCGGGTTTTAGTAGACAATCGACTATAAGGGTTTATTGAGGTGCAAACACTATACCGTGCCTTCATTCATTATAGAGCGGTTCGTCCAGACGGGATGAAGTTCGACGATATTTTATTGAAGCTCGGAGAGTTTGGGCCATACCAAAAGAGGCTCTACTTCCTGCTGTGTATTCCTGCCATTAGTGTGGGATGTTACATGTTAAATCTGGTTATTATTTTAGAAACCCCCAATCATCGGTAAGTCTTATAGAAATTATGATTTACATATTTTTGTAATTGAAAATATTTTTTTTTCTTATTAAATATCCAAATCTATAGTTTTGAATTCCTAAGAGTTTTACAAGACTTGCTGCGTTTTTCTTCATTCAGAAAGCACGTGCTGAATATTTTTTTCCTTGTAATTGTAATTATATATTCTATTCATGAAAGAGACTTTGGTTAATTTCTAAAGGTCGTCAATTATCTTACACATTACACACTAGGAAGCAAAATAGAAGCATGTCTGATCTGTTTTATTTCTTAACAACCATGTAATCAAGCCAAAACTTACTGGAAAATATTCAGCTGCGTATGGAGTGTTCAGCTAGTTGTGTTTTACATGTAACAGAATTACTTATTTAAAGCCACACATATCAATAAGATCCCAGGACAATTAAACATTTTGCTTATTTTTTGTTTGTTTGTTTATCTGCATGTCTCTTAATTACCATTATGATGGGGTATTTTACGCGTGGTACTTGTTTAAATTTACGTAGAATACAATATCAGAGATAAACAGTATAATTATTACAGAATAATCACAAAAAAGCAATGACTTTTTTTCAAAAATAATTTGTAATTTTTTAAATGAATCAATATTTTTACTTAATCGATATTTTAGTGATTTATTGATAAATTTATTGGCAGTGTCTTTTCGATTTCTTTAAAGGGCCTACAAATTAGCTAGCCCATCGTTATTATATAAAACACGAGGCCTTTGATACCCCATTGATACATGTTACATACTTTAAATTCTTTATCTTATATTTTTGGTAACTAATTCTTAAAATCTTGTGATCTCCACGAACACATGAAATTTTATCTGTGTAAAGACACTATAATTATATTGGATGTAAATGGTGGACCTTGACTAGCCAATTTGTATGATTTAAATGAATAGTCTTACAACTAGTTCTATTTCAGTCTTGATCATAATTGTAAGTTCAATCTGCTTGTTATATTGTAAACCATGTGGTTTTGATTAATTCATGAGTAGAAAAAAGATAGAAAGATGTTTTTTTAATATTCTCTATAATGGGTCACTTTGCCTAGAGCCAAAAGATAACGCCCTCGTGACCGAAGACCGAACGCAATGACCTGGGTTAATTTAATTTGCACGTGAAAGGGATGTGTACATTTCTCGTGAACTTTTTTCTTTAATAAAATTCCCAACAATTAAAAAAGATTTTTTTAAACTGAATTTTTTTTTTACGAAGATTTGACGTGCCCTCTATCGGAGCTCTAAGGGTACACCAAAGTACAAATGGGATGGTTCTTTATAGAGCAGTATAGAATGTGGCAAGGGAGAGAGAGAGAAAGAAAGAAATATTGATCAGTGAGTCACTGTGTCAAAGGCCAGGTGGAAGTAATAATTGCATTTCGAGCGTGTTTGGATAGTATCTCTTTTTCTGATTATCTACAATCGTTGATCAAATTCAGTGAGAAACATCATTGTAAAACTTAAAACTCTTTTAATGTGATTCTGTCGAAAACATGGTCACAATGAAAATTCCCAATATTGGGGGGATACAAGAATAATATTTCCAGAATAGTTGAAAAATTTTAACATAACTGAAAATTAAAGCTATGCGCGTTTTCGGAAAAAGAGCACTTCATCATCTATAGGATCATTTTTAATTTTTAGAATGATGTGATGTGACTATATTGCGATATGGAATTAGGTGCCTTCTGTAAATCTGAGGGTGTTAACCTGGTTACCTAGTGAGCTATGTTGTTTATTATAATAATAATAAACAAACCTGATGAATGCATATCACACCGTTACATGATATACACTCTCCTATATATTGATCACTGTATGTGATTTGTTAATTCGTTCCAGGTGCAAGATTCCTGGTTATGACAATGATACATACCACGTCCAATCGCCCTACCACGAGTCATTGATTAATACGACAATACCACTTAACCCCAAAGACAAGAAACAGCCATACGAGAAGTGCCATCTGTACCACTATTCCAATGTCACAAATACAGTGGAGCGGATCAAATGCAACGAATGGGTGTATGACCGCAGCATTGTGCATGAAACATTTACAACAAAGGTTTGATATATTAGGTGAAATAGTGATAGATCATAGAAATATTTGACAACAAAGAAAACAAATTACTGATGAGGAGGAGTCATGTACCTCTTAGTATATGATGCACCTGTACCTCATTGTAAAATGAAAATAAAACAAAAATTACTAAACTTAACTGTAAATCTTTCGAAAAGCTGTAGGTGGTAAAGTAGAATAAGGAGTAGAATTGATTTAGAATTTTAAAAAATAACATTATTTCTACATGCATGATTTCATATGTTTACCAGATTTGATAGTTCTGTGCTCGTCTGCATTTAGGCCAACCTTGTTTGTAATGACGCAGCATGGACCTCACATATAAAGCTCATCTTCTACATTGGGGTCTTGGTCGGTGACATCGGCTTTGGTTTGATTGCTGATATGTAAGTTTTGAAAAAAGTTCATAAAAAATATGTCAGTGTTACGAATTTTTTGAATGTTAAAAACGATCCAACGCAAAAACCTTCATTTCTTCCAGGATTGGAAGGCGCAAGACTTTAATGGCGACAGTACTTCTCTGGAATGTGTCTGGCTTTGCAGTGTGCTGGGCTCCTGAGTACATCAGTTTTATCATTCTAGAATTCATTGTTGCTGCAGCTCAACATGGTGCTTTTATGGTGTGCAACGTAATGTGTAAGTTATAAAGACAAGAAAAAAGAGTTAATTAGTGGCTGAAGGACCTATGAAAAACATAATTCATTTTATGCCTTCCATTTAAGGAATAAAGCTTATTTCAACTTATGTTATCCGATATAACATAACTTGGGGCAGTTTACGCTTTATAAACCGCGAAGCGGTTTATAAGAAAGCGTAAACTGCCCAAGTTTGGTTATATCGGAAAACATAAGTTGAAATAAGCTTCATTCCTTATACTTTAATTTCAGGGTAGACAATAAGACAATATTTCCTCCGGAAAAAGGTTTAAAATTGAGCGTTATTTTAAAATTAACGTCAAGCGGAGTAATACGTTTTTGACGTAACTCATTGTGACGTAGGCAAGTTATGTTATACAAAATGGATAAAACCGTTTAACCAATCAAATGACGTGTTACAACTAAAATTAAATTATATGATAATAGTGCAAATTTACAACAAAGTTTCCCGCAACTCTGATATTTTTCAGATTGAATGAAAAACCAAGACTGAGTATTGTTGTAAATATGTCATTTATAAATGACACAAATGAAACACATGAAATTTGGGAGATCCTATGACTTTCTAAACTTTGTATCTACACTTTGTTATGGATCTCCCAAAAATTAAAATAACATCATGACAATACTCAAAAACACAAATATATCAAGCATTTAAGCTGAAAAATAAGGTGGCAACAAACAATAGGCCAACTTTTCTTACAATAATGGTGTGTACAAACACTTGCAGCATCTACCAGTGATAACAATCACGTGATATCTCTGACGTTAGCTAACGTCTAATCAACGCAAAACCCCAAAGCCCGAGACTATCCATTACATAAGTCCTAACTCCGAAACCTGAGATATACATAAAATATACTACAATCACTACATTCTAAACACAGGAATGGAAAATTACATATGCATGCATAAAACATATTATCAATAATATTACATCAATGGGCTGACAAAAGCGTCGTCTTTTGAAAAAAAAAAACCATATCCTAGCTATCAATCAATCAATCACATTCAATCAAGCCTTTTTTGATAAATAACTTCTATTGTGTCAAATACTTGCTTCTCTTTACTCTGTATGTCATTTTATATGAAAGCCCTAATTTGATAGGCTTCCCATAAAATTAAGTAATCTTGGCCAACAGAAGAGGTCCCATGACCACGAGTGGACTAAGGACTCCTGAAGCTGAATTGAATGAGGAAAGCCGTCATAAATCATTAGATTTGAGTCGGATACAGTTATCAATACACTGAAAACATTCGTTATCTTAAGGAGGTACATTGATACTCCTCTGACAAGAGAGATAACTCAATGAAAAAATGTCTATTATCCCTTTATAAAAGTGTCAAGTAAAGTGTCTTTTTTGTCCAGTTTTGCCCTGCATGCCATGCTATAATTGTTTGAATTTTACTTAGCATTTACATTTCCTATGGAAAATCATAAGAGTTAAAGAAACATTTTATGTGAGTGAGCAGAGGGTTTATGAACCTTTAGAGCAATAATCAATCTATTTTTCTTTACATACTTTCAGATAACTCTAATTTCTTAAGAACTTGTTACCTTGAAATAGACTATAGAAAATTAAGTTAGTCATAAAATTTAAAACTCTTAATTCTATTACCAATGTTAATTAAA